AAAAAATTTGTAAACTCCATACTTTAAAATAGGTGCAAAGGTTGCTAAAAGTAGTTATGAGCACATAGAAGCCATGTGGGAGAAAGTGAAGAGAAGTGTGGAGCATAATGAGAAGATTATGCACTGGAAATAGCAGGAAGCACTAGCAAAAATATCCTTACTGAGCATGAGAGCATACCTTGAAGATCAAAAGCTACACTCTTATTTCTAACAAATGGTTCAGCAACTGAAGTGTGTATCCTAGACCTTCTTTTGTTTAGAGAGGCATATAGCATGGGATATGCAAATATTCAAACAGGAGCCATGTTGGTAAGAAAAAGCCCATCTCTGTGGCAGCAGCTGATGTGAGAATCAGCTCTTCTGGAAGCTACACTAGCCTCCCTGACTCACAAGAAACTTTCGGAAACAGCTGGCCCAGGAAAATTCAATGCATGTAATAAGGAGTAAGTCAGTAAGAGTATCATGGGCACTTCAGCACAGCAACAATACAAATACCTGGTATTATACATTGAAAAAGGAGAAGAAAGACAAAAATTTGCTAGAAAAATGCTACCATGGAATAGATGAATATTGTAGCCAAACATTTTATCATGGATTTAAAAACTATTATGGTATAATGGCATATATGAATTAATAACACAAAGCAAAAATGCTAAAATTTAAGAAAACTGTGGCAAGACAACAGGACCTGGCAGAAATCAGGAAGGAAGTGAAATACATACACAGCAAGCTATATCAAAATCATAACTGCATGTCGACAGGAAGCTGAACTGGGATTAGACTCACAGTAATTTTTGCAACAGGTCATCTAGGTAGAGAGAGAATCCAGTGTGGGGTGGGAGGGGGCTGAGAATGTAAATGCACAGGAGAGACTGGCCTTTTGGGGGACTAGTAGGAAAAGTGTGAAAGTGGTTTTTGTTGAAGAGCGATATGGTTTGGATGTTTCTGTCCCCTCAAAATTTGTATGTTGAAATCTAAATGCCCAATGTGAGGTCTTAAGCTCATAAATTAGATTAGTGTCCTTATAAAAAGTCCCACCCCGACACCCTTGAGCTCCCTATGCCTTCTACCATGTGAAGACACACAGAGGGGTTAGCTGTCACAACCTGGAAGAGGGCTTTTACTAGAACCTGACTATGCTGATACCCTGATCTTGAACTTCAAGCCACCAGAACAGTGAGAAATAAACTTTTGTCATTTATAAGCCATACAGTCTCTGGTATTTTGTTATACCAGCCTGAATGGACTGAAGAGGAAGGTCCTGTTCATGGACTGGAAACTTTGGTCAGAAAAGGTAGAAAAATAGAAGGGAAGTTGGCTCCTGGCAAGGAGACTGGTGTGGGTGTGATGAAAATAGCAGAACCAAGCTTATATGCTTAGAGCTACCATCGCCATGGACTGTGAGCATCAAACCCACTTTTTGGGGCACAGTGAGTGGAGAGAGAAAACTGACCTGCTATGGACAATTGTTCTTCCTTTTTCTGATTCAGAACTGGGTTCCAGATAGAACATGTCAGATTCTTCCGAGAAGCTTCTTTGAGTAACAGTGATGTTGTTACATGGAACAAGCCACCATTATCCTGGGTGTGAGTCTCAAACTCAGCTGGTATTTCTCCTCCCTCAGAGTCCATCCACTGGACCTTTGGCTGAGGGAACCAACCCTCTGACTTGCACACCACTTGTGTTTGTCTGGACTCAAAAACTTCCACATGGAACTGAGGATGTGAGCCAAGAGCTGGTAAGAGGAAGAGAGAGAAGTCAGGTCCTAAGCTCATTTTTCTGTACACATATCCCACCCCTGCTTATGAAAAGTTTGTGCTGCTGACTAGACCTCAATGTGCAGAATAGGAAAGTGAGGCTCTGAAGAAGTCTTGGCAACAAAGGAGGGGGACCTGGACTCCTGGGTGAGAGGGGCTTCCATCACAGTGCAACACAAATGGCCCCTGCCTATTTCCTGACTCCCACTATGAGTCTCTTTGTTTTTTTTTTTAATTTAGCCCCCAGCAGTGATATATGGAATAATGGGGTGAGTAGATGTAGTGTCCATCTCCCTTTCTCCTATGACTTTTTTTATATTTCCGAGGAAAACTGGTCCAACATCTATCCCAGAAGAAATTAACCCCTGGGTGTGTCAGGGCGATAAATGTGGGCCATTACCTGCCACTTTCAACTCAATCACTGCACCACTGTAGAAGGAGCCATCTTGGAATGCACAGCGATACTGCCCATTGTCAGAGGGTTGGACACTGAGGATTCTCAGGAGCACGATCCCCTTATCCATGAAATTTTTCACAAGCTCTGTCCTCCCTAAATACTCCTCCATGGCTTCCTCAGGCTTGTCACTACCATCCTCATACAGGTGCACCACCTGGGAGGGTAGGGATCTAGTCCAGCTTATTTTCATATTTTTAACATTTTGAGTAGGCAAGAGGGAGCAGGGCAGCTCAGTTTCACTGCCCAGCGTGGCCACCACGGGTTCTTGGGGCCCATGGACTTGGAATGCTCCTGAAAAGAGAACAGAGATGGAGTCAGGGTTGAAGGGGGTGGATTTGGGCAGATGAGGTGGTGTTGACTACATTATTGGTTGTTTCCATCCTAACCAAGTCCTGAGAACAACATCTGAAATAGTTGCTGGATCTTTTCTGACCTAAACATTCACACAAAGCTGGAGAAACCTGGATATGTTAGGTGTTGGAGGTCTAGCCCCGGCTAAGGTGAGGCAAGCAAAGGATACAGGGTACCAATTTTGAGGACACACTCACTTTCAGGGTACAGGTACATAGTTGGCAAGATCCTGAGTGTAAGTACCAATTTAAAATTTGGGCCATAGTCTCCTCACTTAACTCACCCTGTGGCGAGGGCCCTGAGGAATGTGACTGCAGGAGATGGGAATAGACAGGCT